TATATATATATATATATATATATATATATATATATATATATATATATATATATATATATATATATATATATATATATTTGCGCGGCTGTGGCTGGAACCGTTGCATTGTTTTTAAACTGAAGTCTTGTGACTTTTTATGAACTGAATTCTGAATTATTATTTTTTTCCAGCAAGTAGAACCTTGTAAAGGCCAGCATATTTTTTTTAAGAGTTATATGAAGTTTGTGCAAAAAGCTTTAAAAAGAAATTGCCTCTGCCTTGCCTGCAATACATACACGCAACGTATGTAGACCCCCCAGAGCTCCTTTTTCCATCGTTGTGCATCGTTCTCATTTTGTGTTTCTTTTTTTTTCTTTTCTTTTTTTTTAAATGTATTTATAACGTTGATTCCTGAGGTTTTTAACATTAGAAATGTGGCCTCTTGTGCAGTTATTCGAACTGCCCCCCCCCTGTTTTTAACGTACATGAGTGTTTTAAAAGGATTTGTTTCACCATCAATACATGCCTCAGAAAAATATATATATATATTTTCAGGATTTTGTCGGGGTGGATTTATTTTTATTTTTAGCTGCCCTTGTAGATAATTTGCTATTAATTGTAAGTTAAGTGTGTGTGTGTATGTGTGCGTGTGCATAATTTGATTTTTTTTTTAAAAAAAACCCAGTCTGCTCCCAATAACATTATTTGGCTGCATGTTTTCTGTCAACCTTCGCTTCAAACATGGGTCACAAAGTGTTGGGCTGTTTCTCTTTATTTTATGTTGGGAATTGTGAGAAATTACCCTAGGCTGTCCTCCCATGTTACACCATTGTCATGAACTAATGTCTATATATATATATATATAAGTTTTAATGAAACATTAAAAAGTTTAAAAAGATTTTAAAATGCCATAGCATTTTAAAATCTTTTTAAAATTTTTAATGTTTTATTAAAACTTTTAATGATTTTAACTTTTCCTGGTGTTCACTTTCATTGTTTTACTATGGATATGCCCAGGGATCATTCATCTGTTTTTAGTGTCATTGGTTATATATATATATATATATATATATATATATTCCTCCCTGTTGTGTAAAGAGGATTGTTCCCAACCTTGCAGGAATTTCTGATTGCAGAAGCACCGAAGCGGGCTGTTTTTCCCCTTTTCCCTTCCCAAATTACATATTGCAGCGTTCAAATCGTCTCGCAGTTGCGTGTTAAATAAGCACCAAATTGCACCACTGTTTCCTCGTATAGTCACTGAGGTTAAAACAGCGTGTAGGGCAGTTTGTACGACTGCCCTATTTAAAACCTGTGCATTAATGGGGCAGTCAGTTCATTTCCCATCTCGTGTAATTACTTGTATGATTTTGGAATGCCATTAAGGAGGACTCCTTGGTAATCAATTTCCAACATAAGTATGTTAAGAATTCCAAAGCGTGGATCAAGGATCCCACAGGTTTTAGGCTCCATTGACTGAAGTCTCCTGAAACTCTGTGTTTTAGAAATCTAGGGATTTGGGTTTGATGGATAATTAGACGGTCCAGAAGTTCAGCACACGCTCAGCCTAGTCACAAGGCTGTCCTCTGCGTGGATATTTTATAGAATATATTGGTGAATTGTCAAAAGGCCGTAAAGGCATTAATTGGGCCTTGTATTAGATGCATCAGTTTTGGTACTTGATTAGGAATTTGCCCCTGTGTTGTCTTGATCCTTCCTTCCTTTGGATAATTGATTTTAAATAAATTACAAATTTATTGGCAAGCAAAGAATTAGAATTTAGTTCCCAGTGGGATTTTTTTAGATGGTCCAGAAGTTCAGCACACGCTGAGCCAAGTCACAAGGCTGTCCTCTGCGTGGATATTTTATAGAATATATTGGTGAATTGTCAAAAGGCCGTCGTAACTGGAAGAAAAAGCATTAATTGGGCCTTGCATTAGATGCATCAGTTTTGGTACTTGATTAGGAATTTGCCCCCCTGTGTTGTCTTGATCCTTTCTTCCTTTGGATAATTGATTTTAAATAAATTATAAATTTATTGGCAAGCAAAGAATTAGAATTTAGTTCCCAGTGGGATTTTTTTTTTCCTGTCATCAAGTGGACATCCTTTATTCATTACAGATCTTCAATTATTCCATTAAGCAGAAGACTAGTTGATGCTGGACTTCTTAAAAAGCAGCATTTGTGTGCAAAGGCAAACAACACACAAAACAACTTCCACGTAGTCTACAGTTTTAATTTACTGCTGTTGCTTTGGTTCTTCTCCCATTTAAAAGCTGCTTAGTCGATGGCTGCAGCTGCTAAGCACAGTTGGTCAATTCAATGCCATTATTGGGAAAAAAAATAGGCTTTTATTTCCAACACAGACTTTCCTGCCTGCTGGTTTTTTTTTTCATGCCATTGAATCATTTCCAAATCTCGTGTTTGTTCTTAATAATTTTGGGTTCTTAATAATAATAACCAATTTCTACCTTGCCTCATCTCATTCTTTGCAATGACCAAAGGCAAAGATTTACGGTGGCCTTATCATCGTGCTTAACCTCCTCCTAGCATTTGTTCAGGACCCTCCGTATTTTCCCATGTTTCGTTGTTCCTTGTTGTGATGTACGCGCGGGAAATCCCCTGGAGTAGTGTGTGTTAAAGAGTTCCACAGAGTAGGACGCTGCACTTTTTATGGAATAGGCTACGGCCTTTAGCCAACGGTTTTGAGGATCAAGAATTGATGGCATCCTGCTTTTTCCTTTAGTCTCAGAGAACTGAATTGTCTCCCGCAGAATTGATTAGAACTGCTGTTAAACCTTTTCAGCCCTTCACAAGTTTTGGCAAACTTTTAGACTTCTTCACCATGGTTCAGCATTAGCCTCTTTCCAAATTGCTTGCCAGCTGATCTGCTTGGCTTCTGTCAGCCCCGGTTGAGCATAATATATTTGGCATTTGCGCCTATCTCTAAAGGAATCTGGTGGAAGACAAGCTTAATTTTCTCTCTTTCTTATCTACTTGTAAGAGGGAGACCTTAGTGTATTTTTCGCAGCATCTTTTAACCTTTAGCTCTTACAGATTTAAGGGAAGGGCTGGGCGGAGGAATAATTGTCTTTGTGATGTAGTAGATTTGGAAAGAGTCTCTTGGGCTTCATTACTCTGAGGAGAAGAACTCCTGCGGTCTAGCTTTGACTTTCTGAGTCTTATCTCTTTATCAGCCTGCATTTTTTTTACGTTCACTGAAGTATTTGTTCAGTTCTTAGAACAGCA